TCGGACCGTGATCTTTACGATTACCGTTAATACGTCTACTATCTCTATGGAATTCGAACTGACAATTGCATCTTTGTGCTGGTGAGATATGGCAACTTGAACTGATGTACGGTCGTGCGAAGTTCTACGTTGTAACTGACTTCAAGAATGACAGTTTTTTGTTCGAATCTTTTTTCATTGTACATTTCACATCATCGATGATGTTGTTAATCAGATTGTAGGCGTTTCCTAGCTCGTTTGATTAAACTGTGATAAATGTATTTTGTACATATAGTCAGATTAAACAAATGAAAATTGTTTTTCAGTTTAATATCTGACGTGAATTGAGTGTATCCTACGTACTGGTTTCGATGACAGACAGATACAACGCAGAACTTCGTACATAAGTACATCAGTTCAGGTTGCCACACCACACCACCACAGAGACGCAAATGTCAGTTCAATGATAGTAGAATTATTAGCAGTAATGGAGAAGATTAGGGAGCGAAGATATAATTCGTAAAGTATAATTCAGTGAGATAAATTTGTAAGGAGAAAGACAGAGATGATGAGGAATTCAGAAGGTTAGAATTAAAAAGCACACAAAGAGTGGATGCACCTGCGCCATTGCAAACGATTCTGAGCCATGTCGTTCAAGGTCTCTAACCATTGGTGACTTTCGTCTCGCGGACCCCAACCACGTAGCCTACATCTACCAACATGACTCAGTCCACTTGTCAGTGATTTCATGGATTTCTGCCATGTTTTGGTCTGGCCGCCCGTAGCTTTCTTCCAACCTACTCCTACACCACGAAACATAGCTCGTCGCGGCAGTCAATGGTTAGGCATACGCAGCACATGTCCCAACCACATCAACTGATGAAGCTTCACTACTTCATCTATTGATTTGCCATCCTTACCTAGAACTCGTTTCCTAACGATAGCATTGCTTACTCGGTTGTCCCTGGATACACGAGCAATGCTTCGGATACACCGATGATCGAAGACTAGTAACCTACGAACATCTTCTGCTCTTAACGGCCATGGCTTCGATGAACAAATATTAAAATAACTTGAGACTAAGAATATCTCAGTAGTTGTTCATTGACACAATAACTCTGTTATGATCTGATTCAATTAAACTTATTCACTCCTTAACGCTTAATACAATCACTTGTGGAGGAGTAGGAACACTAAGAAACCGTATGAAGCTTCAATAATAAATTGAACCATTATAAATGTACATATCATAAGTTACTAAACTAATCTAGAAAAAGGTCATTTTTGTGTGTGGCTTTGGGTTAACTGAATAATTCGATTACTCACAATATCAAACTCTTACACAACTATGTGAATGTGTCTCAAATTATGTGGCAGCGATTTTTTTTGGCAAATATAAAACTAACCAATTTGACATGATTTCCTCTGAGTCATTTTCCTATTTGAATAACCTTTATGTGACCTTTGACTAACACAGTCGCTTTTACTTAACCCATTTTAATGTGACTTCTAACCACTGAGACGATTAATTTGACCGGTTAATTTATTTCTAATTCTTTTGTGACAACTACTATTATATATTGAACCATTCATCATAGTTGCGACATATTTATAAGTATTATTCTTAATTTTAGATAAGGAATATTCCCTACCTTGGTGATAAGTATTATTATTATTATTATTATTACACAACCTGCATAATAAAATCTAGCTACAAAAGTTTCCTTTTAATCACAGATAAACTAAAAACAAATATTAATGAGCTAAAACTATTCGATAGTATTGTGTAAATTTCCTCAGTTTATTTCTTCTCTATGAAAAGATAACAAATTTATAAACAATTAAGGAGTTAGAATAAAGGAAAGAATAACAATGGACGTAAACTCCAACTTTTTTCCAAACAATGTTTTGCGGTGTCGAAGTAGGTTAGAAGAAAGGTAGGGCCGGCTAAACCAAAACATAGTACCGCCGTCACACAAACGGGGGTTCGCCTAAGTATAGTATACGGAGACTGATGGGTAAATTTATTTCATACCATACTCGATCGATCATAAATATTGGAGCCGAGTCTCGGGCAATTAAATGGTAAGCTCGAAGTCGAATCTAACTTAACCAACAATAACACAAAAATTAGTGTAAGCACTATGTTTTTAATCTGTAAGTTGTGTGATTCACTAATTCAGTGGTTAACTGATCAATAAATTTGTTTGGTATCTATTCTGCGATCAATCTTACAGAGTAAAGTAAATGATTTTAATAAGCTCTCTCTCTTACTTTTTACACAATTCTGAAGTATTAAAAGAAGAACCATTTTTCCAAATCCTAAACGCGTATGTCAAGGAATCATCTGCTCAATGTCTCTGTTAAACAGTTTAAAGATTGAATTTCACTGATTGACTGCTCGCAAGGAAAAATAGTATCTGAAGGTGCATTTATTCAGTCTTTGGTTCTGAACCTCTTTGTTACGCGTGAATGTGAACACGTCAACTTGATATGCTTGAACTAATACGAGTTTACCTCAGTCAGAATACGAGAGCGAGGATCTAGGATCCGGCGACACGACATGCTACTCAAATCCGATTATCTCAACCCCGAATAATTAAATGAAGAAGACTTGATATGAATTAGAACCTGTATTCTAAAAGCATCCAGAAAGTACGAGGTCCGAGTCCAGAAGAGAATCAGGATTCCGGACGAGGAATCCGGGTCCGGGTCATAAAACGTTACGGATAATGCGTATTTATACATTTAGGTCGAATAGGAAACAGCAACGAAGTCTGTGACATTGACAGTTAAGACGATCAATAGGAAACAACATTGGAGTACATGACATTGATATCTAGGACGATCACAAAATTGACCAGTAGAAATTGACCAATAATTCTGTTAGGATATCTACAGGGATCTAGTGTAGGAGCACTAGTTCTGCCCTACCATTCAATGCTATACCTACACCAGCAAGACCCCTGGAAGCAGCATCAGGGCTACCGGATACACGAAGAGTAAATCGGGCTGCTTCTTTGTTTTGGAAAGGTGAAATCAGATAATTAATTTTACTAGGATCCTGTATGCGCATTTCCGAGACGCAGCATACATCGATGGCACGAGATTCTAAAGTCCTAGCTAATGATGCCTGTTGCCCTATTTGACACAATGTTCGTACATTAAAAGCTCCAACATGTAGTCTACAACGGGGTTTCAAGAGACCAGGAATGACGTTTCGTGAACTCGCATCGCTTGCATTAGCAGTGCAGTCAGATAAGGGAATGTGAGCAGAGTTAGTTGTGGAGAGAAGAGAGGTATGTGTGGGTGTAGGAAGGATTTGATTTCGACCAATTTGCTCTCGTGTGCTGGGACGGGTATGAGGGCGGTTGTCACTTCTCGGCTGCCCACACCGTGGAAGGTTGTTTCTTGAGGAACCTGAAAAGGAAAATAGATTAGTGTTGGTCTTAGAGACCTGGGTGCGTGACCGCAGAGCCCGACGGACAACTGCTTGAGGCCGGTCACGCACGTCCTTTTTATGAAGGGTTTTTGAGTACTACTACTAGCTCCGCTCTTGAAAGCCCTTAGTGGCCACCCTTACCCAAGGAGACGGAAATCCGTGAGGTAGGGTGAGATGTGACATTTTTAGGGTCGACCTTTTCTAACCATTCCTTCCTTGTGAGAAGGCAGCATCGCTGCAGATGCTGGTTGTCCGAGGGAAACACCTTACTGCTGTCACACCCCTCTGCAGTCAGCAGTACGACTTCGCCCTCAGACCTTGGGTAGCTGCTTTTAGTCTCATCGCTCTCCAATCGACCTGCCTGGCATGGTAGAACCTTCAGAAACATATGTTACAGCCAGTATAGATCGGCTGGGTCATCACGTCAGTCAAGCCCGACCACCACGTCAACGTAGCAGCTACGGTCGGGCAACTACATAAAGATTAAATAATCATAAAATAAATATGATTCTTTGATGTCCTAATGAGTAGAAATTTTTATTGTTCGGTTTTCGTGACTTCAGGTAAGTCATTTCTTTAGAGCACGTAAAGTATTTAGTGGCAAAATTCATGTAAGACACCCAAGGGATTTTCTATCCACTTTGAAGGTGGTGTTATGCTGAGTGATGTTTGGTCCTGATACTGATTTACAAGTCTCCCATAAACGACCTCAACCAGCTAATAGGGTGGGATGAAAAGTGGCGAGAAATTATTATTAGCCAGATCAAATGGAGAAATGTGTACACTCATTCATACACATATGTATCCCTTGGAAAATAAGGCCACATTTCCAACTAAAGACTTGTGTTTCATTCCTTATTAGAAAGAAAGTCAGTAACATGCGTTTGTGATTTGGTCCATATATGATTTTCCAAGTGTATCAGGTGCAACTTACTGTGGATGAAAATCATAAAAAGTACAGTAGCATTGCCAGTGACTTTTATATTGAGTTAATTCTTACGATATCTTTGTTGTTGAGCTTTATAATCACCAGAAACCCATTCACAGAATAGAGATGAGCCGGAGAAGGCTTACACATATAACTATCCATCAAATAACGGTTATTCACTCTTTACCGAAGTTGAACTCAAAAACAATGCAATGTTATTTTATGGGAACATGAAGAATGTAGAATCTAACACTATTTTTGTTGAATCTACCCAAACTGGTTTGAAAATTTTGTTACATAGAGAATATTATGATGCGAAATTGTGACAACTTGAATAAACACTCTGTAGTGCGAGATAGTGAACCGTTGACTTAATGTGCAGAGAATTCAGTTTTGACCAAATCAAACTCTGAGCCAACCAAAAAAACATTCAGTGTAATCTTAGTTATTTCTCAAAGCCTGAATAACTTACCAATCTCCTCATGGGCTACATTGAGGTCGCCGCAAACAATCAAAGGCTTTTTGGAATCAAGCTTAATTAGGTATTCAAGGAAAGCAGGATCCCATTCCTTTGCACGGTAAGGTAGACGAACCAGCCCCCGTCCAGAGTTCGGCACATCTTTCAGCTATATAAGAATAAATTTTACTTACAGGCAGTAACAAGGTAAAATTTGTCGTATTCTGCAGTGATAACACGTCCTTCTTCGTCATGCTTTTTTATACCTATACCATAGGTCACTTTAATTGGGGAGATTTTTGAAAACAGAGCTGTTCCTGCATATCCAGCCTTGTCTGCAGACGACCAAAATGATTGGTATGATGGGAATCTGGCCTTGGATGGTATTTCATGCAAACGGCATTTAGTTTTCTGTATGCAAACTATGTCTGCATTTTCTTTAACAATATACTCTATACCCTTATTCTAGAAAAGTTCAAAATCAAAATATATTATAACTTTTATGACAGCCCGTATCCCGTTGACATTCCACGATACAATCTTCATATTCCATTTGGATGATAAAGGACGTGCTAATTTGCGTGAGGAACCAGGATATTTAGTACACCAGTCTAGGTTTTGAGTCTAAATTGTGATTAAGATTCGAATATTTATACTGAGGAAGACTGTTGTTCTTCATCTTCTGAAGACTGTTTGCGCGGCTGTTTTTCAACAGTTTCTTCGTGAGTAACATTCTGTTATGTGTAAGAATTCACGGAATTGATTGCTTCAAAACCTACCGAACGCCTTTTTGAACGCATTCTAATAACAAATGTCAAAATTCCTCTGAATCTCAAGGCCATATCCAATATCCAATATATTTTTTTCATAAACTAGATTCCATTATCTTTTTCACGAGCTAGTGTAAACCAATTTGATTTCTTCTTGTTCTTTCGGTACGGTTCCAGGTGTTCGGTAATGTCCAATGGATGGAGGTCTAGCCACTCGACTGTCTAATTCTAGTCAGTTGGCAGTTGGTTGTGAGTTTGTATGTCTCGGGATTTGAATGAAACGTTTGTTTCAGGGCAGTAGGGTTTCTGGATACTAGCAGCCGTCACATTACCAAACCGGAGATCAGTTAGTTGCGATATGGAGAGTAATAAGGGTAATAAGGATAAATTAAATGTTAATATGATTAAAATTTCAGAACTGAGTAATGTATAGATGAATTTAGTTTATTAATTGGTAGTGAAGATTGTGAGAGAGGACCGAAGTGTAAGCAAGGGAGAGGAATAGGCGAGATAGATTAATTGAGTGATCTGAGGAGATGGCAATGGTAACAACTAGCAGGTCTCGAGATATGCATCAGGCACAGCTTGTCCAAGAGGGAGATGATAGTCCGCATGTGAGTACGTGATTATCAAGTCTCTTCTTAAAGCAGTCCACTGAGGGGGCTGTAACTACCTCGGCCGGGAGAGCATTCCAAGTTGCGACGACTCGCAATGAGAAAAAGTGTGCACGAATCTGAGTGTTTGCTCTTTGATGTGCAATCTTTTGAGGATTGCCTCGAGGGGAATGGTGATGATGCATCGGTAAGATGCTCACATTGGGATGGTTTGGCGTGTTTAATATGGTGTACGCCATAATCAGGTCACCTTTGATTCTCCTGTAGCTCAGTGGGAATAATCCCAAGAGCTGGAGTCTATCGTCGTACGGTTTATTTTTCAACCCTATCACCCATTTGGTTGCTCGTCTCTTCACTCGATCCAAGAGATTAATGTCTCTTTTAAGCAGAGGGGGTGCGAGCTAGTGTAAACCAATTTGATTTCTTCGCGCTCGATTTGCAGTCGCTTCTTGTTGTTATTTTGCGGTTCTGGATATTTGGTATTGTCTAGCGGATGGCACCAATAATAGTCTGTTGCCGAGACCTTATGAATTTGTATGTACTGAGAGGGGTGCCACAGCATTTGAGCTTCATAGAGTGTCCATGAGTGTTTTCAAGAGAGCAGAGAGCCATTCTATGGTGATTGTACTAAGTTATATTGAAAGAAGATGAATAGATTCGTCAGCTTTGCCTATATCTCCTATGTAGATTGAATTGATGTTGAGGCCCTTTATGGTTATTACACCGAGATCACCACCTCAGGAGATATTTGGGAAGGAACTTCCATTGAGGAAGTAAGTTGGTTGCGTTGCTTGGGGCAGGATATTCATGATGTGGCATTTTTACTGCTTAAGTTATAACCGTTTGCCCACCTTACAGCCAGCGTCAAAGATGAATGCCAAAGTTCCACCGATTTTACGGCCCAAACCTGTTCATCCATGGTCCGGGATACACGTTGACTTCGCTAGTCCAATCGAAGGAACTATGTATTAAGTCGTGGTCGACGCCTTCTCAAAATAGCCAGAAAACAGCCCCGTAATGCAGCCCACGACAACTGAGACAATACAACTCCTCAACGAAATTTTCTCTCGAAATGGCATACCAGATGAGATCGTATCTGATAATGGGTCTCAATTTACCTCCACACAATTCCAAAGTTTCTGCCAACGGCTAGCCATTAATCACTTACGCTCGCCACCATACCAGCCACAATCGAATGGGCAAGCGGAAAGGTTTGTGGATTCTTTTAAAAGAGCATTGGTTAAGTCAAAAGGGGAGGGGACACCAGCCGATGCGTTACAAGTTATCGTTGTTTAAAAATGGTCATGAATGAGTCCAATAACTTCATGACCCATGCTGGCATTGTCAACCGTGTGTGCGAACGGTTCAAACTCAAATCTCTCACCGATGATCAATTCAAATCCCTCATATTCATATGCAGTCTTCAATCAACTTAATTTTTCGTCATCAGAACTCGGTTGCTTAACCGCCTTAAACAAGACCCAAAACTGACACTCGATGAGATCACTGATGAGCACCAACGCATCAGCAACTTACAGCATGACAAAAATTTGGTGCAATCTGGGGGCCAGGGTAGACAGAAACAACTAAATGATTTAACTTTGGTGTATCTCCTTTGAGAACTGAGAGATTTGTGTTAAATCATATCTGTAGCCGCAGATGAGAACTGTTTGAAAGTACCATTGTGGAAAGAAACCAGTTTCTTTTTCCTTGAGGATTTTTGATGATTCTGGACTTGATATTTGTGACTGCTGAAATTGACTTCCACATAGATTAGAGTCATGCTACTTAAGTCAATAGAAGTTGGTTAGTGTTACGCTAAATACACTCATCTTAAAACTTATGTTGTCCGATAATAAATGACATCTTCAAATTAGTTAAATTTCTGAAATCACTTGTTATTATATACCCAACGAAAAGTCAGTTTTCATTTACAACATATATGTTACTTGTAAGTAGATAAAGCACAAACTAAAAAAATGGTCGAATTGTTCGTCACGTATTTCTAATATTGTTTTGAGAAAATGTGAAGTTATATGAAAACGTCGTAAATTCGAATATAGATGTCAGTGATAAGTTGCTTTTTGTTAACATGAAACTGGAAAACCAACAATTAGATATATTTGGATTGTAGCTAACGATGGAATCCTTGATGCTCCTTTCGTCTTATTTCAGACTTATCAACTAAATGAACTTTCATTGCAAATTCGATGTTCACACTTCAAATGTTAGACCACTATTCATATAACCACCACCTTGTTCACAGAGTGTAAAAATATCAATGAAGGTTTGTAATTTGTTTTTTTTTAACATTTAAGTTTGTAATTCGTCAATCTCTTTTTTAACAAACGCTTCACTATAACTCTTAACTTAGTTGTACGTAACAAATGAAATATTCTAAAGCTTGTTACCAGAAGACACTCGTTAAGCATCAGCTTAGAATTCTGATGTCTTTACAGAAACTGATGGATTGTAGTTTTGAACACCGTTAGAAGTGTATTCTAAAACTTTGTCAACTAACTACTTAGTTTTAAAACGCTTCAATTCAGATTTAAATAAAAATCACAATGGTTGACGAGAATTAGAGCGATTAAATGGTGACTAGTTTTAAAAGTACAATTCTTTTCTTTTAATAAATATTCAACTGACCCATTCACCAATATATATATATATATATATATATATATATATATATATATATATATATATAGAAAAGTATCAAACGTTCATTTTCATCTACTTACAAGTACTTGCAGAACACATTCAATTAGCTGGATTGAAGAAGAATATGATGTTTGTGAACATGATTGAAGTATTCGATTTTTATCTGTGCGTATATTGACCATTTATATGTAATGAACAGTTAGTTATTAAAGGTTTGTTCGATATAGAACACGGTGATAAATTAGTATAAATCTAAACATTTTATATTCTTACTAAGATATTAGCAGAACTTAAAGTTCCGGAATTTATCATTGTACTTGACAAATGAAACTCCTCATTGATCATCTATCTGGGCTAAAAATAATTTCTGAACTATCTCGATATTCATTAAGTCAAATGGTCTAAGATTTCAAGATTTCATTTACAAACTATTGAATCATAAGATCCTCATCCAAATCATGTAAGCATTGATAATAACTATATACTCACTAACGACTGGCTTCTAGATGTAATTTTTTGGAGTTCTAGTGAAAATTCATGATTGGTGGAGTTCATCTAGGTCAGGTGTAAAACAGTGATCCACTAAAGGGGAATGGAGGACAGTTCCGCTTTATCGTAGATTGACTGAAGTTAGATATTAGCACCAGTGAATTTCAGGACAGTGCTCTAGAGTCTATTTGTTTTTGCACGAGACCAAAGATGCTGGTTTAGATTCACAGACACGTCCTAAAATCGGATGAGGTTAACATCCAGTGCTTTCAGGTTTTAATTGGTTCCTAAATAAAAATCAGTTGGTTAAATAATGAATGATAAGTCATGATTCTGTGATGAAAACGGCAACACCAACAAAATATAACCGACAATTCGCGAGAACTAATAGTCTCAATAGGAATCGAATCTCTGTCAGTTCGTTTCATTGACTAATGGCTGGCCATGTTACAACTTTGAACGATATAAATATATACATATATATAGGCAACGAGAATAATATCATAGCACTTGTAAACAATATTTAAAATACATATTTTTGTTACTGGTATATTTCAAATTGATTCTAAGTTAGGTCTTTTTTTGGAATACGTTTAACAATGTACTTACTACAACACAATACATGAAATCATATAAAAAAAACAGATAATTAATTGACTTTATTTTTGATACAAACGAACGGTAAGTATTACCATCATGACGTAACATTGTACGACATTGAGGCAGGAATAGGGATTTAAAATATATATATATATATATATATATATATATATATATATATATGAACATTGTTTAAATATGTCATTTATAATCATTTCTGTGAAGAATTTTTTTTTATTTACAAAATTCTTACTGCCAAAAATTCATTTATTAACCCTGAAAAAGCTTATAAATCAGATTTTCTCTCTCTCTGCCTTGTATTAACAAAAGTAGCAAATTTTTTTTTAAAAAAAGATTTCACTTTTATTTTATTTTATTTTTTTTTTAAATTTTGTCTCCTTTGTGTGTTCGTTTGTTTGTTTGTTTCTTTCGAATGTTAATGTTGTTCAATAGTCAATAATACTATCTATGTCAAAATTCGAAATATGTATGTATGTATGTATGTATAGAGAGATTATTGATGAAAAGTGTAACAAAAAACAGTAACAACAACAACAACAATAACAGGAAAGCCATGAATAAAAAAAATACGTTGAACACTTTTAACTGATTGAAAAAAAAAACAAGTCTGAATTACTGTCAGGAAGTGTATTATTGTACTAACTAATTTTACTATGAATACTAATCATAATACTGATGCTGATGATGATGAGACAACACTAAATCGATATATATTAAGGAATTAATTATTTTATGCTAAATTCCGGGGTGTTAATTGTTATCGACTGGTTTTTTCTTCTTGTATTTCACCTATGTATATTTTTTGTTGACAGTATGAAGTTGTTGATATTACTCAATGGGTTGTAATTATTTTTCGATCAAATGTACTTACTTAATTATTTAATTACGCCTGTTATCCTCAGTATAGTATAAGCTGTCGACCAGTGTTCTTCAACCTACTCTGTCCTGGGCTTTTCTTTCCAGTCCGGTCCCATTTTAGTTCATTCTTCTTATGTCTGTCTCCATCTCTCGGCGTAATGTGTTCCTTGGCCTTCCTCTTTTCCTTTGACCTCGAGGGTTCCATGTAGGGGCTTGTCTTTTGACACAGTCGGGTGCTTTTCGCAGTGTGTCCTATCCACTTCCACCGCTTCTTCCTAATTTCCTACTCCACTGGAATCTGGTTTGTTCTCTTCCACAGTACGTTGTTGCTGATGGTGTCTGGCCAACGAATCCGAAGTATTTTGCGAAGACAACTGTTCATAAATACTTTCATTTATTTGAGTATTGTAATGAGAAAACGTAGACAGTTAGAACTGATTTATACTAATCCAATAAATCTCGAATGATCTGTTGATACGAAACAAGCACTTTTTCTTGACTTCAACTTTTTTTTGTCCTAATAATGAAAATGTCTGAAGTATTGATCACTATTACCAATTCGATATTCTCTATGATCAACTGAGTAAGCTAGTCCCTACGTTTTTAAATGATCAAAGCTGGTGTACAGCTAAACTGGTGGGCATTATCGCGCACCGATTTCATTTCTTCTAGATCAAAGTAGACAAGCATATTAACTTCTGAGCATTTCGAATCACTGAAATAACCTCAAATAAACAGTGATATTCTCTTGCTAAAGGCTTCATAAAAGTGTGATTAAAAAAAGTAAAATTTTATTCATTCTGAATGGTGAAAATCAATTTTTGCCTGATATCGAATATGAAGGTATTGTAAACCTGATGAAATTGATACACACGATTATTATCGATTAAGCGGAAATTAATTTTCATAAACCTATGTGCTTTGAATATCGTTATTCATATGGATTATTGAAAAATTCATCAGTAAAACATTCTTCTACATTCAATTTTATTAATGTATTGATCTTCATTACGTGGTTGTTGTGAAGATTCTTAAGTTTTATTTTTGAAATCATCAATCAATCATTGTTAGACGACCATTAGAAACCTGAAGTCACTAAAAGACAACCGTTCCATCCTGATACGGGATTCATCAGCAGTGCGCGTCTACGACTCTTGCGCCTCGCTGGATTCCAACCTCAGGACCTTCGGTATTGTGCGCAAACGCGTAACCATCAGACCACTGAGCTGGTATCTAACGGTGTTAATGACTAACTTGATCAATTCAGGGAGTTGCGCAACTTTATACACATTCTTCGAGTTCGAATCCTGCGGGGTGCAGGAGTCGTAGATGAGCACTGCTGAGGAGTCCCATATCAGGACGAAACGGCCATACAGTGCTTCCACGTTTCTAATGGTGGTCTAACATCGTAGTGTGTGTCCTATCCACTTCCACCGCTTCTTCCTAATTTCCTACTCCACTGGAATCTGGTTTGTTCTCCCCCACAGTTCGTTGTTGCTGATGGTGTCTGGCCAACGAATCCGAAGAATTTTGCGTAGACAACTGTTAATAAACACTTGTATCTTCTGGATGATGACTTTGGTAGTTCTCCATGTTTCCACTCCATACAGTAGAACTGTCTTGACATTTGTATTGAAAATTCTGATTTTGATGTTGATTGATATTTGTTTGGAGTTCCAGATATTTTTCAACTGTAGAGATGCAGCCCTTGGTTTGCTGATCCGCGCCCTCACATCTGCATCGGATCCACCTTTCTCGTCGATGATGCTGCCAAGAAATGTAAAGGTGTTAACGTCCTCCAAGGCATCTCCATCAAGAGTGATTTGGTTGGTGCATGTTGTGTTGCATCGGAGAATTGTGCTTTTTCCTTTATGTATGTTGAGACCTACTGCTGTAGAGACTGCTGCTACACTGGTTGTCTTCTCTTGCATTTGTTGTTGCGTGTGAGATAGAAGAGCCAGGTCATCTGCGAAGTCCAGATCGTCCAGCTGCGTCCTAACTGTCCAGTTGATACCGTGCTTCCCTCCAGATGTTGACGTTTTTCATAATCCAGTCGATGATTAGGAGAAAGAGAAAGGGTGAGAGTAAGCAGCCTTGCCTGACACCGGTCTTCACCTCGAAAGAGTCTGTTAGCTGGCCTTCGTGTACGATTTTGCAGTTGAATCCATCATAAGAATTTCGTATGATTTTAACCATTTTCTCAGGCACACCGTAGTGTCGAAGAAGCCTCCACAGTGTTTTCCTATCCACGCTATCGAAGGCTTTCTCGTAGTCAATGAAGTTGAAGTACAGTGGTGAGTTCCATTCAACTGATTTTTCCACAATGATCTGTAGTGTAGCAATTTGGTCAGTACACGATCGATCCTTACGAAATCAGGCCTTTTGATCTCCCAGTTGGGCTATATTTAATAGGATCGATCATATTTGTACAAAAGATGTCACTAAAAACAAAGTGAAGTTGTTGATGAAACGTTAGCGGAGAATGATGACGTCTTAATGTTCATAAATCTATGGAAAGATCACAGCGTAACGAGACCCTCCACATTTTTTGTCACAGGAAAAACCCGTCTATATCACGTTACTGTTCAGAAGTGAGTCAAATAGCCTTATATTGAAACAAAGGCTTAAATATGTTATCAATAAAACATACTATACAGCAAAGATCATCATAGTCGAAAACACAAGATTTATGTTTCATCTAAAACCTGAAAGGCATGAAAACGATTGCATTACGTCCTACTGTGTTTAAATGTGTATATGATCCCATATAAATAAGTAGGAGTAATAGTGATTTACAAATTAGAATGCCAGAACATCTACCTAAATCATAGGCAGAAATAGATGGTGGTTAGCAGCGGAATCCAGAACACCCGTTTCATTCATTCTGAGACTCATCATCCGGAGTTGATCTTCACTCCGGGACTGATAGGTCGCAGTCCTAAACATCAACAGGAAGATTTGAACAATCAATACAAATGCATTAAACTTTACGCCATTGCACATGCTAGTGGCTGTATGGATTCAGTAGCTATGTGGATAAAGAGATAGCGTTTCAATCAAACCGTACAGGGTTCAAATCTCGGAATGGACATCAACTCAGTGATTCAAGCACATGTGGTTGACGAGTCCCAAAATGGGTGTTCTGGATTCCACTGCAAACCACTATTCATCTTGATTTATAATGCTTGTGACCTATTGGCTACACCGAAGAAATCCACACAGGATACACTTATCACTGCCAGTTCGAACATTCATTGGGAGTATTCAAACTACCAATCAAAATCAAATGATCCAACACGAGTAGGTGGCACGCTTTATTATCGGATACACAGTTAAAACAGATCATAAGATTGATTATAACTCGACTTTTATAATATTGTCCAAAAGTGTTCAAGGACATACACCATTATACATTATTGTAGCCTTGGCCATACTAGAATTTAAACTTCCTTCATGAATTCAAAAACAGAATTTTTTCTCATCTTTAACTTATCTTGATAATATTGCTTTATTATCTAGTATGATGAGTTTCACACCACTTTATACTCATTGTTTTCTGTCTTATCCTTGTTTCCTCGTATCTGACCTTTTTCATTTTCATCTATAAATGTTTACATAATTTTAAGCAATCTTCTTACCTAATTTATCCAAATTTATCAAAGTTGGAACAAAAACTGTTTTAAAATTTTTATTTATTGTTTTACTGTAAATATTACGCAGTTCCAATTGTAAACCTAATAAGAGACAAGTTGACTAATTTAAAATTAGCAAAAAAATTCGATTTTTCTCTTTATGCAGCCAGCAGGCAATAAAAAAAAAATCCTCATGTGAGAATGTGAAATTTTGAAAAATTGCCCTATTTTACAAAAAATCCATTGAAAATTTGGCCTAGTTTCCAACAGGCGTATTCAATATTTTTTTTACCCTTCAGAAAAAAAAAAATAAGTCAGTTATCTTGTTGGTTTTTTTTTGACCTGCTTGCTGGCTGCTGATTGGTCAGAATGATTGACCAATCATAAATCGGTGTCCCAAAATTCCATTCATAAATAAATAAATAAGTAGTAAATTCAGGAAAATGATTATTTAAGCGCTTTTTACTCATAAAAATGCAAATTAAAGCATGAATTTTATTTTTTTTTTGATCAATCATTTTATAAGGAATTAAGTGTTTGTTTGTTTTTCTTCAAAAAATTTTCAATCAGAAGGACATATATACCGAGTAATATGAAATGAATAGAAGGCAAATATAATTAACATACTGTTTGATTTTTTAAAAAAAAATATATATATCTATCTGATTATTTTCACATTTTTATTTCCTAACCCTAACATCATGCCTTTTCGTCGACATGCTTATGATTTTATGCTGGATGATGGATTAGACACACGTATACCTGTGTATAGTGATGAAGTGTTTAAACAAGGCATACATTTCTGTGCAAAGGTGAGTAGTAGTAGTAGTAGTTGTTGTGATTTATTCTAGATTTATTAATAATAATAATAATAATGCGTTTTATATAAATACAAGTAATAATAATCATATTATTAATAATAATGGTATTTGAAAATGTAAAAATATGATTCATATGATGAGTGTATAAAGGTGATCATTGTTGATTTGGTTGTATTATGTGGAGATTTACATTTTGTAAAAATATTTCATAATTTTTTTGTTATTATCAGTGTATCCAATGGTTTACTTCTACTCCATGAAGTTTGTAAATTTCATTGACATTGTTTACATAGAGGTACATTTATATACTAATCTATGCTGTCTCTCTCTCTCCCTGTATATATATTTTTACATAAATCGTACAATGTACTCATTAGTGACTAACTTCGTAAGAAGACGTAACCAATGGAGTAAAATCCAGTCAACTGTGAGGTAGCGCAAAATCCTTAGATTGATTAGAGTTAGACATTTAAACCTTTGGATGCCGGCACAACGGTCCAGAGGTTGGGCGTTCGTGGGCGAGATCGAATGTCCTAGGTTCTAATCCTGCAAGCAGCAAGAGTTGTGAATGCGCACTGCTGATGAATCCCACACTACGACGAAGCAGTTGTCCAGTGCTTCCAGGTTTCTAATGGTGGTTCATGATTTAAATGTGTAGAAACACTGATCTTCATAACTGTAATTGGGAAAATATGTATCTGTAAAATGTTTGGATAATGGGGCTCATAACTAAGATGTATATTTTACCAGAAATAATAAATAGTCTTCTTTGATCTGGTCAACCTTAATTTCATCAATGTTACAATTGCACTTACACACAAGCTTTAAAATGCTGTATTTCCAGTCAGCTGACCGTAATGAAGTAAACATACAGACTGTTGTAATATTCACTAACTAAAATACTGATATTTAAACACAAATGACAAGCGGTTAATTAACTTGGTTCCTCTAGTTGACCTTAATATTGATTTCCGACTAAATATTGTTATAAAAATAAGCGTATAATAGTTGATATTTATTAATAAAATTAGAAGTTTGAAGAGATTTTACAAATGTGTATCTGCTGAACGAACAACAATCACTTGAAAATAACAATATTAGACTTGGAATTGATAGGTCGGAGGTTCGAACCCCACTTTACCTGTTTGGACTAGTGTGAACAAAAGATTTAAAAGTTTAAACTTAAATCTAAGTGCATAAATTTTTTCTTGGTTAATAAAGTTTTGTAAATATCACAAATGGAAAAAAAATTATCTACAATATTTTTTGATATCATGCTTTTTATGAGTACAATTATGTCGGTTCTGAAAGTAGGACCAAAGGTCCTAGGTTCGAATCTTGTGAGAAGTAGCAGGAGTCGTGAATGTACATGTACTGATGAGTCATTTCAATACCAGGACAAAACGGTTGTTTTTCAGTGCTTCTCAGGTTTCTAATGGTGATGGTCTAACAATGATCGATTCACATGAGTTCAGTGATAAAAATCAACAATCTCCATAACTTTATAATGAAAACACTGAATGTATATTGACTTATTTTGATATGTATCTTAAATTTCAAGATTTTAAACAAAATTTTTATATTGGGGTAGAGTTTTGAAGGTTTGTGTTTTTTACACAATTGAACTCATCAATCAATCGTTGTTAGACCAACATTAAAAACCTGGAAGTACTGGACGGCCTTTTCGTCCTGGTATGGGATTCATCAACAGTACGTATCCACGACTCCTGCACCTCACAGGATTCGAACCCGGGACCTTCGGTATTGTGCGCGAACACCTAACCATCGGACCACTGGGCCGGTACCCAACGGTGTTAATGTCTAACTCTGATTGATCTAGGGATCTGTGCGTGACCTCACCCATTTGTCTTTGGTAGTAGTTACTGACTACACCTGACAAGGTTGAACTCTACTGGTCACGTCTTCTCAACTAGAACTTCGAGAATTTCCTCACGAAGCTAGTCACTAGTTACGATATTTTGGGGCAGAGTTTTGGAGGTTTGTGTTATTAAACACATTTGAAATCATCAATCAATCATTGTTAGACCACTATTAGAAACCTGGAAGCACTGGATTAAATACTGATTACCCATACGAATACTCATTTAAGTAAGAATAAATAACTGATAAAAAGATTGTAAATCTTGTACTAAGCCATGATAATCTATTTACTGTCAACATGAAAACACAAACAGATGGTTGATTAAAGATAGTAGATGTTAGATAAATGAAATCTCTACATATCTGTCAATATCTTTATTCAGTCATTATTATTATTATTATTATTATTATTACTAATGATCATATCATAGGGACAATATAAATTTTAGGAAAGAAATTTTGTTAAGATTTCAACTCTAACGATCTGCAGTCAAGTTGCATAAATGAATTCATAAATAATTGGTATCTTTTTTTATGAAGATAAAATGTCTCCATGAGCCTATCTCCTGAAGGTAGAGATCTTTTCACATTTCTGTAGCAACTTGAAATAGTCTTCTAGTCTGTTACAATGTTTGAACGTTCCATGTACCTAACAGAATGTTTGCTCTGGTTGTCAGAAGGGGGATCGGCCTCGTAGCTTCCGAGGAAACTTGGCTTTCATCATGACACGTCATAATTCTTCTGAAAGTAGACCTTCTAACTCCTAGAACAGAGTTAAAATGGTTTAAATTATGTTTTCTTGTTGATGGGATGGATTTTGTCAACCCCATTCCCAACTCTCCTCCTTTATCCGGGCTTGGGACCGGCAGTAGCTCTAGAGGGGCCCCAGGACGAGTTGAAGGCACTGATATCATTCTATAAAATAATTATATTAATTCTTGATTTGGTACGATAGCTGAACATTCAGATTTGATTTGAGATTTTCAATTTTCTGATGATTTATTTTTAAATAAAAGATAAAATAAGATTCTTCTTAAACTAATCTTTTAGAATACGTAAATTTATTGAATTACCGGTTTTTTCTCACCTTTTTAAACATGAATAAAAAACTATTCAATTATAATTTTGTTTATATTCTGTGAAGTATGAGTTTGTTACTTGAAGTACAACTTAGAAATGTAGTTTGATTCATAATTAAGTATAAATTAGCAAACTTGTACTAACCTCTATTTTTTTTTACAAACTGATCACAAGACCTGAATGATATTATCAACTAGTCTTCGTGCATTTAACCTTAGTTTTGAGTTCACAGTTGATAATCACTGTAAAGTTTTATTTTTTGATAGAATATCATAACACCGTAAAACTTGTGTCATCTATCTAGCAGAGTTATTGTCGATTTATAGTTAATTGTAGATAATTAGTACCCTCGTTGAGAAATATACCAATTTGTTCAAATGTTTGTGAATATACTTTTTGAAAAATGAAGAAAAAAAAATACATTTCTGATATCTTTAACCAGAAAAAGTTGTGATTTTTTACAGACTCGTTGTTCTAAAATGATTTTTAAGAGTTAACTCATATATATTCATATTTAAGAATGATATAATTAAGAGTATCTTCAACTTTTGATTCATCTTATAGCCAAAACTTCACAGAAATATTTTGTTCAAATCATGAATCGATTAACGTTAGAGCACGATTAGAAATCTGGAAGCACTGAATAGCCATTTCTTTCTAGTATGAGACACATCAGCAGTAAGCATCCACGACTCTGCACGCAGAAATCGGGCACAGAACTCCTGAACGCTTAGTGTTTAGACCACTGAGTCGATATTCAACGGTGTAGCGTCTAACCTCAATCAATCCACGATACTGCGCGATCTCATACTAAGAGGAAAAAACTGTCCGATAGTTCTAGATTTCTAGTGGTGATGTAACGTAGATCGATGCATGATTTCGGTGAAACTTAACAATCTCCACAACTCTATGATGCGAAGGAATATTTTTTTCATCGGTAAAAGATAACTTCGATGAAAGCTTATTTCCGTTGCTCAGTAATAGATATGTAAACTGAACGAAAAAAACATAGGCAGTTCAAGTCTTTTGTTTGTTAGTACCAATTTTATAAAAGTTCATTAAACTAAAATAATAAAATATCAGCTGTAGTAAAAAAAATCAACCAGAGCTTGTTTGTCTGTTGTATGTGTAAAGTGTACATAGAATAACATCAGAAATGAGTGTTTACAATCAAAGATCAATAAGTTTCTATTTTATTTTATTTTGACCTGCTATGATACATTTTGGGAACTGACGAAAAGTTTTGATATAGCGTAGAAAGTGTATTCTACAAACACCTAGGAAACAGTGACCTCAAGCAAACAAATATCGTTTATTTACCCATCGTAGAAACGTCCTTGGAAGAGTCCCAAGAATAGCACACTAAAATAACAAATCAACCATTCACAGCCAAGGATTTTCCTGGTTTAAAAATGCGATCTCAAGGTCAACTGATTAGCCCATGAATAAAATAAAAAATTAAGACATTTATTGAGCGAGTTCTATGGATCTAACGTCTTCAACACATTTCAATAAGATACTTGGAGGATATCTATAATATTAACATAAGTACAAACCATATTTAATGAGTAGTTTTTCACATTGTCTCTTAATCATTTGGAATTAATTTTAAAAAGGAAGTGAAGTATTTGAACGTATGAAAAATAACAAATCACAGTCAACGATTTGACGCAATAAATTAATTTATTTATTAGACCATTAACTAAATTTTCACATGATTATTGTTTTCCTTAAAAGGTCATAGAAAAATAAACGATCATTAAGTAGGAAAATGTAATAAGTATCTTTTATCAGTTCTATACTTCCAATTCGATCTAACATAAAAATAGTCATCAGCATCGTGAAGAAATTCTTGCAGTTTCAATGAGAAGACGTGACCAATGGAGTTCACCTGCATTGGGTTTGAAGCATTTATCCACCGAAGACAATCGATGAGGTTGCACAAAACCTTAGATTGATCAAAGTTAGACATTAACACCGCTGGTATGCCTGCTCGGTGATCCAGAGGTTAAGCGTTCGCATGCAAGACC